GAAGCCTCTTGTGAGCGTACCTGGAACTGAAAGCTGCAAGGAAAAGACCGAAAATCAGAGTGAAGGATCTTCAACTCTTGACAGCTGTCCAATGTGTCTGATTCATTTTAGTGGAACGTAAGTTCTTTTTTTCTTTTTTTAACAACTTCACAGTATACAAAACTCAAAATGGTTCTGGATGCATTCTCTATATATAAAGAAAATGGACAAAACTTCTACTGTAAAGTACTTTTTAAATGTCAGAATTACCTACTTCCAATTCAGTTTATAAGTTCATGGTTACTAGATTATACTGCTTCAAAAAGAAAGCTGAGTTTGAGCTCTCTGGTAAACCTTGTTAGTATATGCAGAATTAGCATTTTTCAATATTGAATATGAAAAGACTTTTTTGTGCAATTTGTATCATAATCCAAAAACCATTCTGGTGCAGCATTCTTGATAGTTAAAAGCTATCTACTCTACAATAAGAATTATGTTGTCTCTTGAAATTACACCACTTAATAGTATTTAGGCTGTCATAGTTGCTGAAAACATGAACAGGTCCTCTAACACTGCAAGATTTATGGGCTGCAACTTTGTTTTCTTTCATTTGGAGGCTGAACAAGGAGACAAAAGGATGGCTTCATTAATATTTACAAAATTGTGGTCATTGTATCAAGAGATTTAGAAAGGCTAAACATACTTCAGGTCTTCATCTTCAGTCTGTGCTACTGGTAACTTTCTGCTGATTAGGATTAGTTTCCATTTTTATAGAAGCTGCTTTACAAAAAATTATTGTAATGTGGGCAGTGGGGAGGGTCACATCACAATCACAAAAATAGCCCTCCAAAAAAAGAAACTGAAAGCGGATGTGAGAAAGCATCCTTCTTCTATCAGAAAACTTTTGTTTCCTGTATCCTCAAGTTGGAGTTGGATGTGGAATAAGGTAGTGGCTTTCTATCCTCTATCAATAGCCTGATATTTCCAAGGATAGCATTACCTGTCCTGAGCATATGAAGTGTGAGCATTGTCTTCTAGTAAATGACATTATCAAACTATCTAGCAGCAGGTAATAGCAACTACAAGAGTTTGTGGCAGATTGCAATGCTTCTGAGCATAGGAATAACTTACCCATTAAGCTACTAGAACACTTCTGTGATTGCTTAGGAAATGAGTGAAGGTGAAAAAGTATAAAAAAAAAAAGGATTTGACTTCATTTCTTACTGAGCAAATTCTCTGTATTTGCAGACTGTCACAATTGGATATTGATGGCCATCTTGCTAGGTGCTTGTCTGAAAGTGCAGATGATGTAATGTGGTAAATCCAGAAGAATGAAGAGCAAAGGAACAAGGCCGAGGATGAACCTTTCTCAGAGGAAAAGGAAAAAGTGTGTCAAGGAAGCATGTCCTCACCTCGAACTTGCTTAAGGATCACAAACCAGTAACTCAATAGAAGGTCAAGTGCCACCTGCCTGTTTGGCGTCTTTTTATTTTAAATCCTCTCAAAAGCATGTAAAGTATTCTAGTTCTGAAAATAGTGCTATAGGATGTCCCAGAGACCCCCAGGGAAACCAGTCTAAATCAGTCTTGGCACTCCTAGAATCCAGGTACTTCTGAAAAAAATGTACTATTGTAAATCCCTGAAGAACCTGTTTTGTCTGATACACCATAGTTGTTCTGAACCTTTAAGTGTAGAAGAAAGCAGCTGAACAAAAAATAACTATTATTTAATCTAATGCAAAAGTTTACTAACCTCTTTTTCTTCTAAAAAGGTAATCTGTGAAAATAAGCTTAATGAAAAAATCATTCAAGCTTAGCATCTTTCATTATTTTAATATCTAAGTAAGAACTTATATGATTGTACAGTTGATTCTGTGACTATATCTATGTTAAAAGAAAACACAACCCAGACCAAAAAAAAGGGTGTGTTTGGTTTTTTTTAAATCTTTCTGAAGGAACACAGCTAAATTCATAACCGTACTTTGTAGGTTTCTGAGTCAGTATCCACTTGATTAACATGACTAGTCTCAACTATTTAGGCTCCAGAAAGAACATTTCTCCTGCCTGTTTCACAACACTTAATATAGTCAGTCAGCCAAAACAGCTGCTTTTTGTATCAGAAACCATCAATGTTTGAGAATAAAGAACACCTGAGTGTTTTGGCTAGAAGGTATTCAAAAGACTCATCTACTATTTTGGTAACCTAATAGTAGCAGGTAAACATTTTGTAAGCTTGAGAAAAGCAACCTTTTCCATGAATGACAATAAATGACATTTAGTGATAGTTTAGTAACAACAAATGGAAGGGATGAAATAAACTGGAGTAGGTTGTTCATTTCCCACAGTTACCCTGTTCAGTAAACAATTAACTGTATCCTATTTACGCAGTACTCCATGTCTCCAGTCACAGCCCTACAGTTCAAATTATTTTCTTGTCAAAGGGCTATATGCAAGAGAAGTACAACTGTGCCTGTTTCAGCTATTTTGATCACAACTGCCTTCACACAGTGAAGAAGAGTGCAACTCAGATTAACGAACTTCAGCTGTTAAACTTCTATCTCAGCAAACCTCTGCTCTGGACCTCAAAAACTTACAGTTCAGGTGCGATCCAAAGATACAGAATAAACAGAATACAGTATCAAAATACAGGAAGAATCCTACAGATTTAATTTACAATGGGGTCTCTTTAAAAAGTGCAAGTTGGACATAGCTCAGTTTACTGATAAATAATAACAGTCTATTAACTTTTTCATTAAAGTCTTTAATAGATGTGCAAGAATATAAATGATCTTAGCTGTTATGGATTAGTATACCATCTTCTGCACAATTAAAACTGGTCAAAGATCCCAACTAATTAATTATACAAAACTACAAGAACATATTTACTGTTTTACAATCATTAAATTAGCTAGAATTTTCATTTACTATTTCAAATAAGACAACTATATATCATTACCAGATCCATTTGTAATATATTAGGATTTTTTTTTTCCAAACCACACATTTAATTACATCCTTCATTTTCTTTTATTTATAAAACAAGTACTTTATATAAAAAATTTCCCCTTCATCATGAACAGAACATTATTCAAACACTTGCACATGAGCAACCAAACTTGTATCCAGCAAACTATTTGGCAACACAGCAACATTGTAAATGCCTGTAAATTTTTAAAATAAAATCAAGTAGTCTTTACAATGTTTGTTTAGCAAATGTGTCTTTCTGTTCTTCCTTCCCTCCCTCCCAAAGTGTTCTGAAACCTAGAAAAAAGGTTAAAAAAAAAACCCCAACCCACATTTCTAATATTTCCATTTTAAAGTCCTATGCCCTGGCATGTCAAAGGACAGCTTAATCTGTCGTATTTCCACTCATGAGCTGCCTGCAGTCACTCTGATAACTATTGATCAGTTTTATTACCAGGGGAGTTGAAAACACTGAAAGAAAAATTATTCAGGGTAAATAAAGTAACTGCCAGGGAGAAGGGAAAAAAGGAGTAACTAAAAAAATGTCAGATTACATTTAAAAGGTAAATGTTTCCTTTAGTAGATAATAAAGTATCTAAAGTCCAGGCATTTGAGGCAAGTACTTCTTACTGGTTATATTATTTAGTGTTGATTAAAACATTTTGCTTAATATGAAAAGCTCCAGTCCAATGGAGAGAAACCCACAACTTAAATCTGAATGGGATTAATATAACTAAATAACCACAGGTCTGCATAATTGTGGCTAATGAGGGGATACAAAATGTAGATTGTTAATCAATGATTAATTGAAAATTTTAAGCAATGTTTTGGCAGTCTTGTCCTAGCACCTCATGCACCTCATGACTTGGATGTGAATCCGAGAGATGTCATGTTCAGCACCTAATGCAATGCTGTACCCTGAGAAAACCATATGTTAATGTAAAGACAGTGAAAGTGTTGCAATTTATCCTGCATTTTACACCAAATTAGGTGAGATGTCATGGCACAGGGTTTCTCATTTTCTCCTTCCCACATAATTGTTTTCCTATCTCTACAACTCACACAGTATAGTTAAACCAAAATCTAGCAAAAAGAAATACTGCCTCTGCTGTTGTTACTTACAGAGGCAGGTAAATCTTCACAAGCGTCTGAAGTTTCAGCTAGCAATGCACACTTACTAATCCTCAAATGTAGCGACATGAGCTGATAAATTGTTAACCTTTGTGATGTAATATAATCCTTTCCCTGCCCCACCCCACCCCACCCCCCTGCTCCCCTCAGTTTCCACGAGAAGGGATTTGATAGTTATCTTTTGCTTTATCCAATTTCTTAGGTATTCATTTTTCTTCCATTAAAAAAATTTACTACTTTGATGCAAATCATTTTACCAAAACATCCCATTCTCTATGTAGAATGATTAATTATTAATATACACTGAGTAATTGTAAGCAGACAGTTTATTGTAAGTAGGAGGTGTGCTTTATCAGGAAAGTGTATTTTCTATTATGGTTATTCTAGATTTACTATTTAAACTTTAAGGCTATGCTTTATTACGTTTTTGCTCTATTTCTGAATATCTGTATTGTTGATAAAAATACTTTTCAAAAATCTAATATACAACACAACATCATTGTAGGTGTAGGCACTGCTTAAGTATTTTCAGAAATCCTTTGTGTGCAAATTTAGTTTTCTTCAATCTACATTTTGGTAAATTTGGAGTTTAACACAACAGATTTTGAAATTGATACTGTAAATTCTAATTTGGAATTAATATTGCTAGTCACTCTGCATTTCAAATTCTATAAAGATGCAAATGAACATTAGGCTGCAGCTGTGAACTGTATGTTTCATATGTAAATGTTACTTAATATTAACAAGCAGAACTTACCAGGTTTAAGAACGTTCCAAATATGTAATAATTCTTCAATGCAGTCTATCCATTTAGGCACTTAAAACTTGTACCCAAATTTATGTTTTGATTGCTAATAAAACACAACTCCTTTTAAATATATCTGAGACGTTTAGACAGGTACCACTTGTGAAAAAAGGCATCAAAAATAAGCTTCAACACCACCGTAATATATTTTATTCTTCAGGATGTTACACTGTAATATTCTTCAATTGGTAGCTCATTGCATCAAATGTTTGTAGAAAGTGTGTAGATCTCAAAGTTGTTCAGAATCTCCTTTTCCAGGGATGCAATGAACGTTTCAATCCTTCATGAAACAGGCACAAAATGCAAATTCCTTCATTAATTAAGCCAGTTGTGTCAGTGCCCAGAACTTAAGAATCACCACGTGTCAGAGGACACCCACCAAAATCATTATTCTCTTCTTTGATTTTCAGCAGCAATTTTTTTAATCATTGGTCTCCATCCAAAATCTTAACAGTTCCCCAGCCTCGCATGCATATACTGTAGTTAAGGATAAATTTAAAGGTCATTCACATTGTCCACAACGAAGATGTCGTTCCTTCATACTGTTTCTTCTGTTGACAGCAACAATGGATTAATATATTCAAATCCTTCAAATTCTGACTGATCTATTCGCTTTATTATATCTCTGAAAAACAAATAAAAGCATTTTTAGTTTTATTGATTGCAAATACTATTTTTGTTGCTGTACTTTTTCTTCAAATAATAACAAAATACATTACAGAAATGTATGCGTATGAAGCTGTACAGAAGCAACAATAAATGGGGAAAAAATTTAGTCTCTCAACATACAAATACTTAACAATAATGTTTTATCCCAATATCTAAAGCAATATGACTGGAGATTTTGAAACATCTGATAAAAAGTTTCTTCTGCCCTTCCAGTTAGATGACATGCATACTTACAGGGCCCAAAAAGAAGCATGTAATAAATGACTGTTGTTTTATAATACTAATTTACAAATAAGAAAGATATTTTGCTGTCAGCAAGGGCTGCTAATGTTATATGTAAGATGAATACTACAGAAGAGTCAAGTACAAAGCTAATACTTTTTAAAAAAACCAAACATATCGTATGCACAGGAAATCCAAGAAAAGACTTATAAATTGATGTATATAAAAAGAGAGAGAATTTCTTTTAAGATGTGTTGTTCATAAAACTTCCTGCATAAACTTGATATTTATAATTTTTTTGTCAAGCAGAACCTGTAAAGCACAAATATGCCTTGCAATTCTTTGGTGTCACATAGAAACAATAACTGAAGCACTTCACACTTTGGTTTCCATTCAGCTATTCACTTCATATATGCTGGACTCTTGAGAAAGAGAGAACAGGTTGTGAAATATGGATCTATGATATGTAAGTAACACTCTTACAAAATTCAAACTTGAGCACCTAGGCAAACAAATATCCACAGTGAAATCTCCAAATACATAATTACTTGAGGATGAACACCTGCTACCCAAGAATGCAGCAAGAGAAAGACCCTGCAACAGTAAATTTATTGCCACTGGAATAGACTCAACAGATTGCTGGTTACAGTGTTCATTTTTACAATCACAAATTTAACGAACATAACATTTATTTGTACAAATAAAAATTCCCTGACCAACTAGCTAATCCTGGGGGTTGACCTAGGATTAGCAGGCACTTTATGAAGGAGGCTTTGAAACAGTATTGTCTTTCTTTCAGAGCAGTTTAGCTTTGTTGTGTAGCAACAAAGAAGAGGGAAAACTGATAGAAGCACATAGGGTGGAATGTGACAATCTTGTGCCTTTAATTATGAAAGCCTTTGGATAGCATGCAACAGCCTCTACTTGCCAACGTGGCATCCAACTATATACAGTACTTCACACGGTATCTAAGAAAGTAGAAATCATAAATCCATTATTAAAATCCCAGTTCCAAAAGCAGTACTTTAGAATCAGCTTTATTAAACATTTGATTAGACCCAAATATTCATTCTAGAACACCATCAATCAGTAGCTTTACAGACTTCAGTTAGAAATCGTAAAGAATGCAAACCACTGGAAATTTATGAAACATGTTTTCTTCAAACATGAAACCAGTGAACAGCACAACAGGCTGAAAACATTTAGGAAGGAATGCATTATAGTTTTCAGCGGAGGGCATCTAGTCAGATAAGGAAAACCAAACATGAATAAATTAAATATACTGGGAAAATATAAGTGTATAACGTGCAAGCAATTCTTTGCTGCTCTCTTACAGTAAAGCTCACCTAAAAATCCTAGCTACACAGATTTCGGGATTTTGAGTCTTAGATTTTTAATAAACCTTTGATTCATTTTACTTCTGTATTAAGGTGCTAAATAAGCAGCAGAAAGTTTCATTATATTTTTGATAGAATAGCACAAAAATTTCAAACCAAAACACACACTACTATGCTTTTTAATGAGAAACAATATTGTAAAGTTATTAAAAGGGGGTAGTTTAAGTGCCACCTGGCATTAGTGCCACACGCTCAAACCTTGAAAGAGAAATGCACCTTGGAAAAAAAAGAATGGATGCCCCCCAAACTGTTGCGTTCCTCAGCAATTAGATACTACGATTCTCACACTGATGTCATTTGGCCCACCCTCCCCCCTTAGCTCTGATAATACGTATATCATCAGACATGTGCTAAATGCTTCACAGGCAAATGAAGTCAATAAGACCATTTTTTCTCTGACATTTTCCCCCATTGCAATAAACAATGTTTGTTTTTACAAAGGAAGTTCCAAGTTCCAATTTTAAATTTTTACACTTCAGTAAACCCTCAAAACTGTGTACAATTACTCTCAAACAGTTTGGGCAAGCTAACTTGCCCAATCTAACTACCAAAACTATAGCCTGTCTTCTTATTATGCCACTTTGTATCTGAAGGAACTTTCTTCCTTCATGTACAGCAATCACTCCTCAAAAAAAGCCTTCAAATTCCTTTATTAAAGCATACTACTTCCTGCAAAATTTTTCCGTAGCACATTTAAATAATAGCTTTCTGTAAGATTTTCCTGCTACCTCAGGCTTATTCTAAGACCCAAGGAGTTGTGCGTCAACTGTTTCTCCTGAGTACAGAAATGCAAGCTACCTGGGTCAGGAATCAAATTTCCAAATTTCTGTCTCTTCTTTCAGTGCCAAGCACATGCTCAACAGCAAATCAATACTGTATTCTGAACTTTTATTAGAATACTAGGCCATCTTCTAATATATAAGTATGATAAGTTATGCAAGATATGTAGGATACAAAGAATTTCAAATTTACTTTAACTTGACTATGTTCTAATGCTAAGTACATAGTCTCTTCTTAGTAATTTTCAAGTAATTTATAAATTAATTTCTTAGTTGTATTTGGGGAAAAAGAAAAACATACTCATCATCTGGCGTTAGCTGCACAGGTTCGCTGGTGAACTGTGTATCAAAGTTATCCAAACCATAATCGTCTGTGATCTGAGGCTGAAATGGAGGGGTTGCTTGCTTCTTTTCCAGCTAAGAAAAAAAAAAATAGAATGGGAGAGGAGAAAAATTAAAATGACGAATATTTACAAAATCCCCTAAGAACATCAACATACACTGGCTCTAGAGTACATGCACAGAAAAGTCATTATAGTTGAGTTTAGTATTGGTGGAAGACAAACTCGTTAAATACAATCTGCCATTAAGTTTTGGACTAGTAGATTTTGACACTAAATGGTATATGCTCATCCTGTTTATCCTATTGCTGTATTTTAAATACAAAAACTTCAAAAATTATCAGAAATTAATAAAATTTTAAGTTTAAGACTATAGAAAAAGCTGTTTCCCAAGTCTCTTGCCTATCTATTAAGAAAAAACATTGTTGCTATATACATCTGGCTCAACAGTTTTTAAACTGAGAACATACTCCGGAAGCTTTCCATTCAAGCCAAGATGCTTTCCCAGAATATAACTCATTTTTCCCTTTTATAAGCTCCTCTAAAGTTGCCTCTTGTAAAGGCAGCCTCTTAGATTACGTCAAATCAACATAACCAGACTTATTTGTTAATGCCAGCACAGAACAAAAAAGTAAGCAATATTTATGTCCCGATCAATCACTAGCCACATTGGTAAGCAATCATTAAAAGCAAGTAGTGCTAATCAATAAAATAGCTAAAGCAGCCCAGAATTTTATTCTACAATTAAAATTTAATCATTAATACACTTACATATAACATTTCCTGCTACAGGAACTGGAAACCCATATTTATCTTCCTCACCAGTGATAGTCCATAAAACATGGGAATTTTTTTTTTTAACTCAAATAATGGTGTTGTAGTCATTAAGAACCTTTTCTCATTTGCTATACCGTAGCATGTTCAACAGTATCTATAGTTTTCCAATTAAGGCAAATCCCTACTATCCTCCGCAGTTATTAGATCGCTTTTATCACAAGTTTGAGTGATACACGAGCTGATGACAGATTAAATGTTATTATTTGTTTAAATCACTAACCCAGGGCAGTTCCAAAAAAGGTGCAAGAACTCCTCCACCTGTTTAAGCTTGTTTTCAAGTAGTCATAGTTCCAGGCCCAGCAGAAAATCACAGATATGAGTTTTAACTTTTGGAAGGTGGTGGAAGCCTGAGCAACTGATCCAGCTGATATACTGGAAACCAGTATATCAAAACCAGTCAATAATCATGTTTTACGATTTTGCATGGCCAGCTAAGTTCTTGCCAGCTAAATCACTTTTTACAACAAATGATAAGTAATACTACTATGTTTTCTACATGTTACATCTGTCATATTACTGAATCTCCCAGTTGAAATATTATAGAATATGAAGTTTCTTAAATTACAATAAACCAATGGAGCTCTTGTAGAATTGACTATGAATTATTTAAATGGATTTACACTTAGCACATTTTTCCTGAAGTTATTAATTATACACTACTCACTTTTGTGAACAGAATCCTCTTCATCATTACTTGCAATTTCACACTGCACCCTAATATAAATACTGCCTACGATACCAAAGAAAGCTCTCTTCTTCTTCATGAAGAGAAAGAGGGAAGGAAAAAAAAAAATCTCAAGTGCAACGTATTACTTCAACTGATGCTTAAACTCACTGGTTGCAAATCAGCATTAGCTGCCTCTGTCCCACCCATACAGCCTGGGGAACATTCAAGCTGTTTCTTCTACATACTAAGCAGACCAGGCAACAGCCAAGTGATAGCTTGTGCTCAACTCCCTCATACAAGCAAACAAGATACTTGAAACCAATATATTCTGGAAAATCAGTAATAGGTAAACAATACTGCTTAACAAAGACAGGAACTTAAATAATAAAAACAGTGTGAACGGACCGCACTGATAACATGCAACCAGAACAGCTATTTTTCAAACACTTTCTAGTCTAACAAGAAATCCACAGCATTTCAAAAACATTATGTTTCTTAACACATATGATTTTAGTTAAGTTTGTTCTACAAACATCTGTGTGTTTTATGGAAAGATGATTGACCAAATACTAATGTCCATAGTTCTCAATACGCTGAGGTAATGCCTTATACTAAAAATATGTAATTCAGGGATGGAATATGACAAGGAATGCATTAGTGCTAGAGAAGAATTATGTATGGAAAAGCGTAATGTTTTAGAAAGTGTAAACTGTACCTTTACGCATTTCTAATGCCTCACTAGTTAGAAATAGTAAGAAAACCAAAATGTCTGTGTGCTACAGTAAGCGATAACAGAAAAATAGTAGAGCTGAAAACAATTAATAGTATCTTTCATTCTAAATAAAAGATCCTCACATCTACATACTAATGAGAGGTATGGCTAAACTCTTTATGGGCAAACTGGCCAGGAAGAAATCTTATTAGCTCAATAAGTAAAGAATCATTATATTCACTAAGCATTAAATGAGAAAATGTCATACACTGAAATCTAAAATAAGCTAACAAATTTACATTAAAAATTCATAGAATCATAGACTATCTCAAGTTGGAAGGGACCCAGAAGGATCATCAAGTCCAAAATTACAAGCAACTGATTAAGTTTTCCTGAATACTCTAGATTTACTCGGTATTGCATGGCCATTTGGTCCGAGAAAACCGGTTTCTTTAAACAAGCGACTGAAATGACTTCGGACACTCACCTGGACTGAAATTAGTACTTTAGAAATAAGCAACTCTTCTGGCCTTAGCTTTCCCAAATGCCACGCAATACTGACCACAATACTTCCAGCGTTCTCTCACACCCAACATCCTATATCTCCTCTGCCTCCTCTCCCATGATCACATGTCCATCTCTTTTTTTTTTTTCAGGCTACTCAAGAAACATAGGTTGTTGACTACCAACTAATACAAGTGTCCTGATTAGACAGCTGCTTTTGAGATAAAAGCTGAATTCCCCCGTCTTCCCCCACTAGGGAACTAAATTGGTCTCATCTACCAGGATGCTCATTTTCACATAAAACAGAATCTAGTATCCGTGAGATCTACCTGCCTTCAAAATAAGCAAAAAGTGATGAAATGGCTCAAAACTTATTAGGGTCATAACTAGCAAATGAACAGCAGAGCGTGGAAGTCCCTCTTCCTTCACAATTATATTAAAAATACTATTGCTGTAACATAAGCATTTGAAAGGAGTTACATTAAACCTTTAAAATGGAGGCTCCAATTGATTTTATGGAATCGAGACTAGCTTTAACCTATACAAAGTCATAGAAGCTTCATTAATTTCCCTTTCACAATCTATCATCTTTCTTTTATAGCTCAATAGGGAATACTCAGAAGGTATCTCTGGAAGTTTAGTTCCCAAATCGTATACAACTAAATCATATATTCCAAACATATGCATCAGTACAATACAAGGCAGGAAGATAAAGCAGACATTTTCAACTTGCCATTCAAAAGGTTTAATTAAAAGAATTTTAAATGGCTAAATCCTACAAACCAACTGGCTTATATATTTACTTTCATATCAGTGATCTCCCAGACACAAACACCAAGCCTTAGGAATTTGGAGGATCAGGCACAATGCAACACATCGACCTTGGGAGTACTGCAAGAAACAGTAATATTACCCAGAAAATTCACCTTTGTCTCCAAAATGTCAATGCGTATTATTTATTTTTTTAAATATTTGATTGAATCTCATAATTTTTCTATTCAAAAATTCTGCCATTGAGTCTCATGCTCCAAAATAATTTTAGAACCTGATTGTGGCACTTCTCGTTAGCCACACATCAGGCTGAGAAAACGTAGTTTCATTAGAAACCCAACTTCAAAAGGATAACCAGCATGCTAATTACAGAGCAAGGCATGGCAAATGATTAAACTGGCAATTAAATATACCATCTCAATGAAGATGCTAGCATATATTGCCTCAAAAAATGTGCTTTTAAAAATCAATTGTAGTTCTACTTTTTAATAATTATTTATAGATGATCATAAATTTTGTGTATTTTGTAGAAAAGAATGCAATTCTTGCAGGAACACTTCAAGAGTTGTTATTGAACATTAAAGAAAGTGAAAATTTTAATTTGGCCCCAGATTGCCAATTTAGCAATTGTTATAACCATAACCATGTCATACATAATAGATAAACATATATTTTCACAATTCTTCTATTTATGACCATCCAACATGCCAGTTCTGCAAAATGTTTGCTTAATTGGTGTGCTGCATTCATACAATGCTCCTTTAATTTAAGGAGGCTCTGACTATGTACACCAATCTTGAACCCATAAATGGATTCAAGTCATTACTTTGACTGTAGAAGAAAATGGTAGAAAAGTTTGAGATAAGAATGCAAAAACAAAATTGTGTGAATTCTGTTTTTCAGTGTGGGCACATATATCTCAACATCCTTTCTGAATAATGCTTATAACACGTTTGTCAGCACTGCTATTTTCCGAGTGGAGCTTTCAAGCTACATTCTTTGCTTCCATAGTTGTTCAAAATGGTCTTACAAAACACTAGGGATTTCCTATGTATGATACAGTAGGAATGTGTTTTTTCCCATTTAACATTAGTGAATTAAACATTACTAGAAAAACAAAGGAAAATATAAGGTAAACAAAACCAGGCTTCCAATACGAAGAGAGTGTGTGTGTCACTATGTCTTTTTTGTTCAGTGGGTCACCTAAGAAGAAATTTCAGGACCTTAAATAGGATCAGCATCCCACTGTTAGAGGCTTTGTAAAGAAAAATCTCAGCGAGCTGTATCAGAACAGAGGTATGAAACTTCTTGCATGGATCCCCTTACAATACAAGGTATGCTGGGGCAGAATGGAAGGTGACATGGCAAACGGAAGGAAGGATAGCTGTAAATTCCGGGTAGCAGAATCACTCAGAGGTATCTGTGAATGCATTGCATAACTTGTAACAGGTGATGTTCCTATGCACAGCAAGGTGGCATCTTTTAAAAGAACAAAATGTTTGAAGCCTAAAAATAAAGCAAATTTCTTTTTTTCCCCCCAAAAAAAAAAAAAAAAAAATCAACAGTGCGGCTTAAAGATATGAAC